GTAGTAGGTCAAATAACTCACTGTTGCGGGTATCAATTACCAGATCTCCTACAAAGTAATCCAGAATGAAAGATGCAAAATTGTAAGCTTCCAGAATAGTTTATGTATAGTCATCTTATCTATACCTTTTGAAGGTCTGCACATAAAGGCCAAAGGGACAGGGTACCCCTGCATACAGCAATCCAGATTTTAATATGGAAATGCTGAAGTATTTTAAATTAGGCAGCTTGCAATCAAGAAGTAGTTCAATTGGACATGATACATGCTCATTTACCCTGAAGTTCATCAAAATAGAAGTAGTATAGCTACAAAAGTGAAGCTATTGAAAGTGGGAAGAATATGTCTATGGATGCATCTGTAAAAACAGCTCTATAAAAAGTAAGACAGTATTTAGCACTTCAGAGTCAAGATTAAAATAATTCATCTAAAAGCCTGATACCTATAATGTCTCTACATATATTTGTGTCTATGTTTGCATGTATATCTATAAAAATTTATCTGTCTGTAAAATGATATGCCTATTTTCATGTTTTTCTCACCACAGAATATGAACAGTAACACAATGCCTGCTTCTGCAGCCTGCAATAACACGATACTAACATGAACTGACTGCAGTGTAACACTGGTATTGCATACTTCATGCAGAAAATGACCCACATGAGAAGATCTGAACGGGACATCCTTGTGGAGCTGTGAAATTATTTTTGCTTGGCCATTAGTATTAATAAACACTTCAAAGAATACTTAGGGAATTTATTTCACCTACCTGTTTTTGTTTCTGTTTGTAACTCTTCAATTTGGGCATGAGTTTGGTTGATAGCTGCTATAGGATTTCTTAAGACAATGAATTCTGATGTCTTAAAAGTTAGACTATTTTCTTAGCTACCAGATCAGATCTCAAAGTGAATTTGAATTCTGGATCTTTTCATTGTGGTTTTGTTTTGTCTAATAAAAAAAAGGGTGTTAAAAATGAGATTTTATAACTCATAAAATTAAAAATTAAGCTTTCAACCTACACCATATATGTGGTGGAATATAATCTGATCTCATTTGTTAAAGACTAAATAGTGGGAGAGAAGGCTTAATAAAGATGCCAGGTAAAAATAACACTCAAAACACTTCTATATAGTTAGAGAAAAATTATTCTGTAATGCACTTAGTCTAAAGATAAATCATAGCAATAACAAAAAAAAATTCCTCTTCCTCTACACAGTCAAAGAGGATTGGGTTAGAGAACACCTAGGCGAACATGACGAAAACAAGTCATTTTAGAAAAGTTTAGAAAAAAGATTTTACTGTAAGGGTGGTAAGACACTGGAACAGGTTGCCCAGGGAAGTGGGTGGCAGAGGCTGCCCCAACCCTGGCAGTGTTCAAAGACAGGCTGGATGAGGCCTTGAGCATCCTGGTCAAGTGGGAGGTCCATGGTAAGGGGGGATTTGACTAGATGATCTGTAAAGCCCATTCCAGCTCCTAAAGTTCTATGATTCTATGATTCTATTTGTCCATGTGCCTCGATGGGATGCATCCACAAGTGCTGAGAGAGCTGTCGAACACTATAGCTGGGCTCCACACAATCATCTTTGAAGGATCATGGAGGTCATGAGAGGTGCTTGAGGACCGGAAGGAAGAAAATGTCGCTCCAGTCTTCAAGACAAGAAGGTGATCAGGAGTAGTCAGCATGGCTTCATTAATGGCAAATCACACTTGACCAACCTGATTGTCTTCCATGATTAAACAACTAACTGGATGGACGAGGGGAGAGTAGAGGATATTGTCTACCCCAGCTTCAGCAAAGCTCATAGGCAAATTCAGGAAGCGTGTACTGGATGAGTGGACACTGAGGTGGTTGGAGAACTGGCTGGATGGTGGGTCCCAGAGGCTTGTAATCAGTGGCACAGGGTCTAGTTGTAGGTCTGTCACCAGTGGTGTCTCCCAAGGGTCAATACTGGGCCCTGTATTATTTAACTTCTCCATCAACTACTTGGAGGAAGGGACAGAGTGCCTCCTCAGCAAGTTCATAGATGACACAAAGCTCAGGAGTGACAGATACCCCAGAGGGTTGTGCTGCCCTTCAGAAGGACCTCAACAAGTTGGAGAGATGGGCAGAGAAGAACTGTCTGAAATTCAATGAAGGCAAGTACAGGGTCCTCCACCTGGTGAGGAATAACCCCAGGCACCTGTACAGGCTGTGGGCCAATCAATGCCACACATTCTGCATCAACACTCTCCAAAAACTGACTCTGACATGAGGCATTCTGAACTTCATGAAAACAGAAAACTTCATCTATTTTTAAATAGAGGTGCTTAACCTTAAGTCCTAAAATCCTATATTTTTCTGTATTAGTGATCAGTTTGACAGGTGCAGTGTTTAACAGCTTACATGAAAGTCCTAACAATCCTTGCCTGTGATGAGAAGAGTTTGTAAAAGAAAAGACCTGATAGAAAGCAGTGGCTGACACAAAGTCCACCAATTTTAAGAGGATTTGGAATTAGGCAACACCAGAACAAGTGACTTCCCAAGCAAGTTCAGTTTTTACTGACTTAAAACCAGATTTCATCACTTATAAACTGACAGTTTACAGCATACTAATATTGGTAATGACCACTTTGGAGTCTAGGACATGCATCAATGAGCTTTCCTTGGCTCTACACTACACCATATTTATTATCCACCCATTGTCAGAGCAATGCACGTGCAGACTAAAGACATTTTACATCATTGCTTTACCCCTCAGAGGATGGGAGAGTAAATCTTTCTAACAAGTCAAACACACAAACACTCTTTTTTTTTCCAATGTTCACCCTTAGACCTCGTCAGAGACAGAAATTACACATGTTAAAAGTTAAAATTACTTACATCAAAATAAAATCCCTACACAGACACTCTTCTTTAAGCAGTGCTGCATTGGTTTTGGCTTACACATGTTCTACATCAACTTCAGCTTACAGTCAAGAGGCTCTATCAAATTAAGTTCATCCACAAAAGCTATGGGCTAGCCTGATTTACTTCAACTGCTTGGAAAATCACACATATAAGTAATTGCTACAACTCTGCAGATCATATCCTTTATCCAAGAAGCTTAAAAAAGAACACATGCAATATAAAGAAGCCCTATCCACAGATCTAAAAAGTACACTTAACATAGTATTGACTTTCTTAAGAAAATGAGCTCAGATCTTGAGATACTGACTTGCTTCAACAAATTAAAGACAGTCATTATTAGAGAAAGACAGACATAAACCCCACAGCAGTTATGTATTAATTTCCTCTTTATTTCAACTAACAATAGCATTGCCCATAAGGAGCAAAAAGCACCTAAACCCACAGAAGGAGTTCACCTCAATGACGGTGCTGCACTGGCTTCTTACTAAGTACTCTGCATAATTTTGCAAACCCATTTTGTCTTATAAATTCTGTGTTTTGAAGAGCTCAACTGTCTGCTCATGCCACCTCACTATAACCAAATCAGGGCCATTGATCTGCAACATACCAGACATAAGGATGTTCCCCGTAATGTGACTGCACAGGAGCCCTGGAAAAACAGTCCAACTGAACCAACCTTCAGGGTGTGCACAGTACATAAGCAATTCCTCTTTCATGGCTTTGTGTGAAAAAGAAGGCTAATGCTACTGCTCCTGAGTTACTACTGCCTGTGGTGCAAGTGTTCATTAGTGATGGAAGGAGAATTACAAGTGCAATTACATGTATGGCAAGAAAGTGTTCTTTCCTACATAAAAGTACAAAAAGAAACACCACAAAAATAATTACATGTGATAATTTGTTGTTAGCGTTTCAAAATAGCAAACAAAGATGTGACAATGAAGTGACAAGAACAGACATACAACTGTAACTGGCGAATATAAGAATACCCCAGGCAACACAGCTACTGGCAATATTGTCTGTAATACACTAAAGCAGTTTATGGGCAACACTAGGACTTACATAGTACAAAACAATTTGCTTCTGCTGAAATTCTGCAATAGCAGCCTTCATGGTACCGCCACAAAATCAGTTTGCATTGTGACCCATTGGGAAAACACATTTTCTTTAATGTTGACAAAACCAAAGTCTGAATAAAACTTTCTATGATGTCTTGATTCTTAAATTACAAAAAAAAAAATCAACTTGACTTACAGAAAGTGTTAAATAGCAGCAAAGGGCTAATTATACCATACTAACTTCCTTTTGTCTAGTATAAAAGGACATTTTCTTACTTTGCCTGGCTGAGTATAATAGCCTATGAATTATGAGATCAAAGCAGCAAACTGTATGTTTTCTAAAGTAAGAGTTTCCTTCACCAAGTTTTACACTTACTACAGCTGAAAGAGCTGTGTGAAGGGATCAGCACTAAACCCAAAGGACAGGCTATGCACAGCAAGAAAGAGAGCAACTCCCTCGTGCTTTTTGCAGGTCACTACCAAGGACCATGTTAGCAGATCCACACCAGACCCTTAACAGGCAGCTCTGCTGCTACCAGTAATTAGCTTGGACAGCTCTGGCTCCAGGAGTAGCAGCAAGGCTACACCATAATGAGCTCAGCTGGGATTAGCAGGACAGGGCAGGGAACCAAGAGAGCTGAGGCATTCTGCATTGCGTATGTATCACAGAGATCAAACAAGGATGGCTGGCTAGGTTATCCCCTCACCACCTCATTCCAAAAATGAAGCACGGCAGTGTGTAAAATACAGGCTAATGAAGAGCGACACCTCCAACAGATGAGAGCCACATTAATTAACACAATCCCTAGATCATGGAATACAGTTTCTGTTAGTGCTAGCAAACTTGTAACTTGTCACTGATTTAAGAGAGGCAAAAAAAAAAAAGAGAAAAAAAGAGAAAAAAAAAGAGTTGATGTTTCCCTATTCAGCTTTTGGTAGAGGATGTTTTTATATTGGAATTTTTCAAGGAATCCCTCCTATATGGCCTGCAATGCACCACCTTCAGAAAAAAAACCCAGTATGTTTCTTTATTTAAAAACCATTTAAGAAATGGACTCACTTTTCAATCAACAGCTTTTTGTGTTCCCTTTTGAAAAAAGCCAGTTCATTCCACACTGCATCAGGATCCTCTTGACAAAGCTGACAGGGATCTGCATGTTGGTATCTGCTTTTGCTACTTTCAAGCCTGTTTCTGAGGGGAAAAAAAAGGTTGTTTGTTTACAAGTATCTATATGTTTTAGGAGGACCAGACAAAAAGCATCCTTGCTTTCAGAAAATACAAGTTTTCAAGTACAGCACCTACTGAAACCAAATTTAGTTTGAGGTATATGTTCCATGAGGCATGAAACCCTAACTGTGGGATTACAGAGAAATTCAATTACCTGGTTTCACTCAGACATTGTGCTAGTATGGTACCATGCCTCTCAACTGACATGCAGCAGAACAGCGTCACCCACATTCTGCCAACATTACTTCCAGTACTGGTATGGGAGAGCAGAAGCTGAAACAATCACACAAGCTCCTGGGAAAAAAAGAGGAGAGCACCAGCTCCCCCAATGCCCCAGCAAACCAATCAGGAAGTTACACTAATGCCCACTGTAAAACAAATTGTTGTTCCACAGTCTAATGAAAGAATAAACTATCACTGGATAACAAGATATATCAGGAAAAAGCCTACTGAATTTAGGAAGGCAGAAAAAGAAAATTACAACATTTCATAGTTTTCCTGTCATTAAAATGTTCATGTATTTTAATAATGAAAAAGATAAAAATTGTATTAAAAATCCTTTATGAAATCAATTTAAAACTCTCTGCAGTCTAAATTCCTACTGGGCATAGAAATAAACTCTTAGGGAATGTGGTAACCTCCTAAGGGCCCCATCATCTTTGCAGTCACGTACATCAGTGGAAGTTGTATGTACACTGACAGGTGGATTAGGTCCCATCAGCTGCCATCTCGACAACAGATACTAATCTATGAAGAATAAGGAGAATGGGGTCCTCCATCACTTACAGAGGATCAGAAGTGCCACATAAGTACCTGATACTGAGTTCTTAATGCACAATTTACATTACACCAGCAATACAAAGCTTTTTGAGATACCAAAATAACAGACTGTTATTGTTCCAGACTGGTTTTATTTGTGTCTCAGCTACTTTCCTTTGTTTAAGTGTATTAAAAAGGATAAAACAAAGCTCTTCTAGTGTGGCTTCATACAATTCTGTTCTGATGATAAAAAATATCAAAGGCTCGTTATTTTCAGCTCATCTTAAATATAGATTAAAAAAAATCAGATGAATGAATAAAGATTTAGCATTAATTTTTTCCCAATACCTACTTTTCCCACATAAATTTCTGTCATGATACAAGCTGGTCTCATTTACTTTAAACAGAAAGAGAAGTCGCTTTTGTCTCTCTTTCCTTATTCTTCCTTTTTTTAAAAAAACTTAACTATCAGAACCAGAACATTCAGTGCCTCACTGTATATCAATTTTGATTTTACTGTCTTTATCTAGCTTGAATTTTTTTATCTTTTCAGCCTTGGCCTCTCACTGGACCATGAATGCCTACTGAGCTTTAGAAACAGAATTAAATAATTTCATTGAATATAGTAACTATCATCCTGTAGTCATTTCCAGATTGCACTGACTTTAAAACAGTGAGCTAGGAGAAAAGATCAACCATGTTTTTCCTAAATAAACAAAACCTTCTTCATTGTAATTTAAACAAATATATTTGTCATTTTGCTTGGATATTTCAAAAAATCCTCCTTTGCTTCCACCAATGCCTGTAGCAGTTTTGTACTTTATTATTTACATCCACACCTTTTCTTTTTCTTTTCTAAAAGACAAACTGTTCTTAAGTAAATGCCACAGTATTTCAAAGCAATGCAAATCTACTCAGATAGGGCAGAGCATTACTTATATATGAGGGACAGTAGGAAGCTTTATGTCACACTGGACTTTGAACAGCTACCAGTTTTGCAGCATTTTCTGTGACTCTTTGTTCAGAGAGTTACAAAGTTTGAGCCAAGATTACTCAGTATTGCTTTAGTTGCAAAAAAAAGAAATAATCTGAACAAAACACGTGTTTACTGAGCTGTAGGTGCATCCTAAAGTCCTACTACAGCCACAAGGAAATTAGTTTCTTGAAAGATGTCCTCAAAACCAGCAGTGTCTGATAACTGAACTGATAAGAATTGCTAGCATACCTCCAAGTGCATCTGTTCACCAAAAATCTAACTGTCTGCAAAGCACATTAAAAAAAAAAAGAATTTCTGCATACGATTTTCATTACTCTAAGTAGAACATAATGGAGAATTATATAGATAATATTAATTATTTCAATTTTTACGTGGCAGAGTCTTTCCATTAATAAAGAGGTATCAGTCCAATTGTTTTGTAAAATAATCAGAAATAACTGATTTCTAAATAATTTAACAGATGAAAACACCGTGCTTTCATGGACATACTCTTTTTCCCCTACTAGGAAGGGGATTTTAAGATTAGCTGCAGCTACTATTTGAATCAGTGAATGTTAGAGAAGCTATTATTTCTACATTTTTAATGAGTAAAACTATTCCTGAAAACTATTTTAAACATAATGAACAATTGTTTTCTTACACAAGATTAAAAACGTACACAATCAACAAACAGAATAAACTGGGGAATTAGACAAATATAAGTAAGCAGCCCCAGCAGACCTTTGCCCACAACACAGGCTCACAATGAGATCCTAAATAAAGTAAGTCACAGTGTCAGCTCAGTACAGTTTCAATTTTTCTCATACAGGGGAAAATCTGTGTATTCTGCTTTAACAAAGGACCAAGTCTTGATCATCACATAGTAGCTTCTTCCATCAAACCAAATTCTGTTTTGAATACCTGGATAATATTTCTGTTCAGATTTCTTGTGTAAGGGAAATGTTTTTAATGAGCAATGTAACTTACCTGCTATCACCCTCTTCCCACTGCTTTAATTGCTCTTTTAGTGCTCTGTAGTTGGTCTGTAACATCTGCAGCCTCTCTTTGTGTTTTTCACAGGCTGCTCTTAGCTCATCAGTTTCTTGAGTCTGTATGGAACCAGAAAACCAAAATTAGAGTTCGATGAAGTATAAGAGATTGTCATACATGACACAGAAGTTCTGTTTTAGCAACTATTAAGAGACTCAGAAATATAAACAGAATGATCAGGAATAACAGTCTTTGAGGTCAAGGTTTTCTTACTGTGACTTTGAAAATTTTTGTTAATTTGGCAAAATTTGCTGAAATATCTTTTTCAGGCTGCTGAGAAGTTTTAAAATATTTACTACCAGAATGTCAGCTTTCATCTTCTGAATGCATTGTCCTATTACATCCAAAAATACTTGGACTGAAAAAGGATTGTTGTTACTGTCTTTTCATTTAAACCACTTTTTTTTTTCCCCCAAACGAAAACTTATCTCTGTATTCTCAAGGGAAACACTGGACACATGAAAAAACCCTAAATTAAATGGCTGCAGGACCTTTTCACCTATTAAGTTATTTCTGTAAATATATATAAATCACCCACACTTTTTCCTCCTGCAATGCAGCAAACAAGATATGAAAACAATTTTTACAATAGCTTTTGTATCATCAAAACCATACAAAACAGGTATAGAACAAAAAGTAAGATACACCTTGATACAGGGTAATAGCACGTAAGTTTAAAAAGAGATTTTTCTAAGTGACAATACAGTGCTCTGAAAAAAAAAGAACACTAAGAAGAGGACATTTCACAGGATAAAGCAAGCCAAACTCTGGCATAGAGCAGTAAAGAATTTGTCAGACATTATCCTGTAGCAAAACTTGTGCTCAGAGCTTCATTTTCTGTTCAGTGGGAGCTCTGCTTGTAGAACAACTACAGAACTAAATAAATCACAATACTTATTTGCAAGTATTTACTGCTTATATGCAAGGAGGGCTTTTCAGCATTATTCAATGACTAAGACACACCAATAATCAGAGCTGCAAGCAATAAAAATCAAATCCTACTATAAAAACGTGGCAAGGGTTTCTAGAGTACTGCTGACTACAAAGAACCTAGGCCTTGTCTTCTAAAAGGCAACCCAGCTTTCATGACACACAAAGCTGAAAGATACCAGCTAAAATTTCAAATGGTACAGTATAAAAAATTTCCAAGTATTCTAGAAGTGACTCAGGCAACATAAAAAGTAGATGTAGGAACAGAAACAGGTGCCAATGTGACCTTACCATTAAATGCTTTCCCAAAGTGGTGGTGATTGTGCTTTTTTCTGAAACAACCTCTAAACCAGACACCTTTATAAATTTAGAACCACGTAAATGCACTTTTAACTGGTTCTAAGAGGCTCATGTAAACAATACAATTATATTAAAATGATTAAAAACAATAGCAAGTTAAATCTCAGACTAAGGACATAAAGAGTATTGTCAAGCTTTGCCTGACAGTAAACAAGGAAATTTTCCTAGGAAACCAATTACAGATGTTATGTTTTCAAGAGAAGTTCATGGAATTGTTGTTCTGAGATTGTTTGATATTGCTAGCAAAAACTGATCAAGTCTGGCTAGGTACTGGAAAATAATGTCTTCAGCATAAATCCTCAGAAGGTTATTAGTGTCAATGCCCTTTCAGAAATGCAACCAATTGTAGAATTTGGCCTTTCCTATTTTTGAATCTACATTTTTCACTATTGCTTACCTATTCTATTATCCATTCTGTTACAGTTATCCCTCTCCCTTCTCACTTGCTCTGTTCTTGCAGAAATAAGATAAATAACTGCCCAAATCACTCTCTTTATTGAATTAAGCACTTAAGGCTTAAAATAAACATTTTTATTTCCATAATCTGTTGGATCCATCTCTCTCTGCTTGAATTATGCTATCTTTAATTATTAAACTGTCTTGTACAGAGTTTTCTATATATTTACAGGAACGGGAAAGGACAGCCATTTCCAGCAGTGCTGGATGTTCATTCTCCAGCTCTCCACTATCACTCTATAGCACTTCCCATGCAATAGTGAAAGATAGTATGACAAACTTCATATACAGCAGGAAAAACCCAAGTGCTTGTGGAAAAAAAAGCTTTTTGTTTTAGAGACAGCTCAGACAAGTCAAAAGATTCTAATCATTACTTCAAAATTTTGTTGAAACTGACCTGCAACAGCTTCTGTTATAGCAAAAAAGAGAATTAAAGAATTATACCCTTTCAATTATTTGACTACTCTTACTAGACTGACAAGAAGTTAGGTACCTGACCATTACAAAAATAGTTTCTTCCACAAATAGTTATGTGGAAAAACTGCAATATTAATATATTTTTGGCATCTGAACACCATACATGGAACAGGACTACATGTGAAATCTGAGCTAAATACAAGTGTGCCCTAGCTCACCTAAACAAGTATTAAGGTGGCCCTAAAGACAGATCTACATATTCTGGTTTAATTCTCTCAAACAATTTTAGAACTTAAAAAGGATTACAAAACTCAAAGGAAAGAGCTCATCTCGCTTTTGAGATCTTTCCAGTTAAAGCCAATAAAGGTAGTAAGGGCCAACATTTCTTGGTCAGAAATGAGTCAGCTGAGGAGAACTGGAAAACCCTGTGAATGAGACCTTGCCCTTGTTTGCTCCTTTGTAATACTGACCAGGGCATTCATGTTTCTGAACATCCCATAAACAAAGCTGTTCTTTTATTATTTTTTTTAATTGTTACCAATTTTTCAGAAGGACTAATGGATAGAGTCATTATTTCATCTTCAGATATGCATCATCAGTGTGTTTATTGATAGAACAAGCATTTTTCTGAGCAAGAATATTTCAAGTAATCATACAGTCAACACTTTGCTTGAGGAGGCAATAACACAAGTGCCAGTTTAAAAAATGTTCACCACATGCATTATTCTCTGTTGCAAACAGTGCCTGAGAGAAGGCTAACATCAAGAAATCACAGAACATCGACAGAAATATTCTAAGATTAAGGTTATGTTAATGCTGAGTTCACTGTGATGCTGGCAGTAGCCTCATTGAATTCTGAATGTAGTGCCACGACAGTCTTTAATATGTTGACCTGGGCCTCTACAGCTTCTTTTCAATCAATTAAAAGAAAATTCTGCAAAAGAAGCCAAGTAGATTTTCAAGATAAAGTGCAAGGAGTTATGTGTTCAGTTTCAAGGGGAGATATAAGTCTTAGCCCTTAAAGACATCATGGATTAACAGCTGTGATAGAAATCCCACACTTGCAACATAATAAAGCTGCACATATTCCTAAATTATACTTTAAGATGAAATATGAGATAAGCAAAGACAATACAGTGAATAGTACAAATTATTATGCAAGGTTATGCAGAGAGAGTTCTTTCACTTCTGCATCTGCTGAAAAAATCAGTGCCTTGTTTCTCTCCTCTTTCCAAAAGAGAACACAAAGAAATGTGGAGAGTTCTAGTATTTAAGGCAATAACTATACACACTGACGTGTGAGCTTTGCTTCCAAGGGAAGAGCAGCTGTAGTCCTTGGTGCCAAAATAATCTGTAGCATCAGTGTCTGGCAGGCCAAGTAAGAGTAACAAACAGGAAACCTCACAAAGGCCAGTTCTCAAATTGAGCTGGTAGGACACGCCTTAGATTTCCCAAAAGAGATAAAACCCAACCAAAACAAAATTAATCTTCTGACTCCCAAGAACAAGACGACCTCTAAGACTGAGTTCGAAGTTGTAGAGGACCATACATGAGCATGTTTTGTCCCAAACACTCTGTTATGACAAGAAGAGAAGAGAGGCTCCCATGGAGGTGGGGCTCCACCTCCAGACTTGTCCTCAGCTCCTCAGCCTCAACTCATTTCCCAGAAGGAGGGCTTACAGGGCTGCTGCGCATGTGTGAACAAAATGGGTGCAAAAAATCTAGTTCACATAAGTAGTGTGCACCATGTTAACTGTAAAGGGGAGGGGATTGGGCCACCTTATCCTCTTTTTCCTTTCTTTCTCTTTCATTCTTACTGTTTGCCCCAGCTCCAGAGCATCCATGTAGCAGACCAACAAGGACTGTGATATTCCTTGTTTTCTTTCTCTCTTTTCTGCCTTTATTTCCCTCCCCCCTTGCTTTGACTGGGCAAAGCTCAGCTCTCAAACTCTATCCCATACTCTGCACTGAACTTTGTTGTGGGAGTGGGGAGCTTGTGGAATTGTGTTGTGGCTTGTTAGCCTGCACTGTTGCATTGTGTGTTGTGGGAGTCGAGAACGTATCGAAGAGTGCTGTGCCAAATTAAGTGCTCCTTAGCCACCAGTCTTGTGGAAGTGTATTTTAAGAATTTAAGGCCATGTTAGCTAACACCTTTTGAGTCTAAACATTGGACTGGTTGCCAGACCTATGGAGACTGTACAATGAAGCACAAGAGTTCCCTGACACGTGTCCTGTGTCGTTGTTCAGCCTGAAGAGAACTTAAAACAAACATCATGCCCCCTATGAGTGGGCCATGGTAGAAGTCTAAATAATCTTTCTTGTCCATAAACTCTACATGTGTTAAGACACTATATTAAACACTCTCAAGAATACAGTGTGATGAACTTTGGCATTTGTGCTAAAACATATTTCCTATTTACAGTTTTTTCCAAAACTGACTTATCACATATAAATGTTTTTTTGCATGAGGCAGGAACTCAGGACTATGGTTGATAGAGCTCCCAAATTTTTCCACTTATCTGGCATTTATCACAGTATGTTCAACATAACCAGTTCTGCTTTAGGCTACATATACTGAAACAAACACCAAAAAACAGGAGGGGGGAGAAGAAGGAGAGGATGAATTTTAAATGTTTAAGAAAATATGACTCAGGATTTGAGTTCTGAGGTACAATTTGAAACCAATACTTCATTCAAAAGGTACTGTACATCTGTAGTGAAAAATCAAACCTCCAAATATCTATGGAGCAGGGACAAGATGAGAAATTGCAATATATGCTCAAATAAGCTTTTCTACCAATGGGTGGAGGGAGGAGGTCTGCTAGCTGCTCTGGGTTTTTTAACTGCACTTGCTAGAAGAGCAACTACTGAGCCATAAGTTCCAAGATTTCCAGAGGTAAATTTATTTCAAGCAATTGACTTCAGCATTTTAAAATATTGTCGTTGTTGTACCAAAAAAATTTCTTTGTGCTTTCTGATTTACTTTATTTCTATATGAATACATGAATTTCTTGGAATATATAGTCTCAGACACAAGCTTTGAAAATGTATTTAACAAGTATAAGTTATTGATGACAGCTCAATTAAGTTTCTATATGACTGCAGGATTACTGACACAAGTAAAGGAAACAGGCAAACTAACGGAGAGGGCTCTCTGATGCTAACACACAGTCCATAACAATATGTGTATTTTTAATTTTTAAAATGTCTGTTTATTTTGGTATATCTTTATCTATGCAAGCTTATAGCTAGAGGGTTTTTTATTTTTCTTTTTTTTTAATGTTCACCTTTAGCTGCAGTGTCTTCTCTAAGTTTTCAATCTTCCTTTCAGCTATTTTAAGCTTCCTTAGCTCCTCTGACTCTCTAAAAGAGCTCTTTGGGGACAGAGACCTTGAACGTTTCACAGGTGGTTCCTGGAGAATAAAACAAGGACATGGTTGAACTAGTTGGAACACCAGATTATGAAAGACACGCAGAATTAAAGAAGAAGTAATTTTGAATACTAATAATGAATTATAAAAAAAAAAAAAAATCTGCATGGAATACCAGAGAAATAACAAGCAGAATTACCACAGCGCTACCACTAAAGGTTTCTCTGTGACTCGTTAATGAGAATATTCATTTACATTTACATTGTTTCTTTCAGAATAATGATGTCCCATTAGGGAAGACTAAAGGGTTATAGACTCAGAAATGCAAGAAACCTCATTACAAAGGAGGGGATAGAGGCTGGTCTAATTGCTCTATAAGGGTCCAAGGTTACACTTGATAGGACAACCAGAAACAAGAGGGAAAGGATTTTTTTCCCTTTGAAATAGTTTAACACACTGTGAAGTTGAAGGAACAATATGCTTGAGGAATATAAATACAACAGACAGTAGATCTTATACCATAATGACCATATGGTCATTAACTATAATGTGACTAACTAGAGACAAGAATATGTGTTTATATTATGTACAGCTTCACATAGCAATCTGGAGAAAGAATATGTGAAAGTAACACTTAAACTGGGCAGCTTTCTTGTTCATTCTATGTCATATGACCTTATGGCAAAGAAAGAAAGACCTCATCAAATTAGACTTTCTGATTTTCTGAGTAACTTTGGTTAAGAACAGAGAAATACTAACATACACTTAATGCCAATAAGGTAAAAAGCAATTACATAAATACATAAAGTCAATCAAAAACTTAAGATTAACTGTGATTATTGTTGCATTTTGCCACTTTCACTGCAAAATAACTGATTTACAACAAAAGGAATTCAGGATAAGTTATTTTTCAGTACTATATATTTCAACACTTTTACAATTCCACTACTTAATTCAATCTTAAAGAGAACCTTAATTAGCAACTCATTTTCTTCTTTGACCATTACCTCCCAGTATGAAATGTTTACAAGATACTGTATACCAGTTTTACTTTAAATCACATGGGTTTCCAAAACAGAGAAATAAAATCATGAAATATCCGAAAATACTAAGATTACATACTTATATCTATCAATTTATATATTTATATCTATCAATGCGGTTTTGCCATTTGGCTTTGGGATTCTTTTGCTCCTGAAATGTGCCTGAAAGGGGCTAAAACAACTGCAACAAATTAAAAAATGGGGTTTTTTTACAAGCAACATGACACCCCCCACACAAAATAAACCCAATTCCACATACCCAAAACTAACACCTGGAAAGAATTTTAGTACATTTCATATCTGAATGTCAAAGTAGACACATTTTGTATATTCTTGTCAGTTCCTTTAGATAACAGAAGAAACTAGAAGAAAGTTTTAACGACAGTTTTAATTAATATTTCCATATCTATATATTTATATTGGTAGCATAACATTGTACTAAGAGTAGATCTCTTTGAAACCGTAAGACTGCTGATTTACATTTTTTCTAATCATTCTTTAGACATATCCAAATGTTTATTGATATTAATAGATACTGATATTAGGCAGTAAAGATTTTAACATTGCACATAACAAACCAATCCCTTTCAGCTGTAGGAACATCCCAAACCCAACATTCCAAAATATATACTCATTTTGAAAGTCTTCTATTTCTTGAATAAAATTACAAACGTCCTGTCTTCCACATTTCCTAATCATTGCATAAGCATACTAATTTTTCCTGAAATCCAGAATGCATCACTTTTCAAGAATTGTCTTCCAGGTAAATTTTAAGTTTTTTTACAGAAGACTTGGAATATACATGATTTCTCTGAAATCAGGAATGAAAGGTCAAAGCACCATGCTTGTGGCCAAAGAGAAGGACAACAAAGAAAAATGGATCAACCAGCACTAGACTGCTAAGAATAACTAGGTAGAGAGACTCTAGGGATGAACAGAGATATTAGGCAGAAAATACAGGAAAATATAAAATTCATAATCTTGCTACTTTAATTGCAGTTAATCAGACACAATGAGTACACAGAA